TTGAAGACCCCTGACATAATGTGAGGGGGAAATAATGCTAACTCAGAAAGAGCTAAACCGGTGTTTCTCAACCTCAGCCATTTTAAGAGGTGAGGACTTCAACTCCCAGAATTCCTCAGCCAGCGTGCCTGCCTGAGGAATTCTGGGAGTTGAAGTCCACGAGTCATAAAAGGGTCAAGTTTGAAGACCCCTGCTGTATGATGAACGGAACAGCTGAGGGAACTAGCTAGCCTAACTTGGAGGCTGGTCTTTAACTTCCTAGTCTCAAAGTGTCAGTTGCAATTATGTTTAAAAATTAAAACCGACGTACCGAACTAAAAACCAGGGTGCCCAAGGGGGAATCGGCTGATAATCCCAGAGCCCATAGGTGCCCTGTTGGAGATGATGAGATGACTGGGCCAACAGCATGCGGCTGGAGTAGAGTCACCACGATACAAGACAGATGTTGAGACTCTGGAAAGAGTGCAGAGAAGAGCAACAAAGATGATCAGGGGACTGGAGGCTAAAACACATGAAGAACGGTTGCAGGAATTGGGCATGTCCAGTTTAATGAAGAGAAGGACGAGGGGTAACATGATCGCAGTCTTCCAATATTTGAGGGGCTGCCACAAAGAAGAGTTGGGGGGGGTGTCAAGCTGTTTTCCTGAAGGCATGAAAAGAAACAACAGATGGAAACGAATCAAAGAGAGAAGCAACCTGGAATTAAGGAGGAATTTTCTGACAGTGGGAACAATTAATCAGTGGAACCACCTGCCTCCAGAAGTGGTGAATGCAGGTACAAATACAGGTAGTCCTTGCTTAACAACCAGTCACTTATGGTTTGAAGTTACCACATACCTCCCCACCCACCTTGAAAGGTATTTACGACCCAAATCCAGAATTATAATAGCGGCACTCTCGCTCCAGGATCACGTGACTGCATTTTGGGTGATTGGCAACCAGCTCACATTTATGGCTGGTTACAGCGTTCTACAATCATGTAATGTGATTTACGATATTTTCTGTCGTAAAAATATGCCCATAGGAATGCATTGACTAACTTAAAAATCACTACAAAACAAAAAAAAAGTCATAAAAACGTGCCGGGCACATGGATGCCTCCATTTAATGACTGGCATGACTTATGATGGAGATTCTGAGTTCCGATCGCGTTGTAAGTCAAGGACTGCCTCTGGTTATACTAAAGACGATGGATGTTATGTGCTCCTGGCTATTTTCCTTCGTGTCCAGAGGCAAGCTCGCCTGATCAATAACCAGCTGAGACACAGTGAAGGCCTTTTGTTTCGTTTATTGCGATAAGCGGGGAGAGAAGCTATCAAAGTTGGTTCTCTTCAAAGTTCCCACCCAAAATATTCCCGTCTTTATACAATCCTGTCCCGGCCGCCACATCCCTCCTCCATCCCTCTTCATTCAGCCAGTTATCCCATTCAGTTAACTTGGACTTCAGTAAGGCATTTGATAAAGTAGATCACAACCTACTACTTAATAAGATAGAAAAATGTGGGTTAGACAGCATCACCACCAGATGGATCCATAGCTGGCTGAC